AGTATTCTTTGCTATAGTGGCTTCAAATATGTTCAGGTGATTTCATTTTCCAACTTAAATAGTAGTATTTTCTTATTTTCATTGATGAAAGGAAAATTTTAATTAAGAAAATTCTTTGACTCAAGGGATATTATCAAGCCTCTGCAAGGGAACTAATGAGAATCAATGGAACAACAAAAGCACCTGTCATGAATTGTGCAGCCGAGACCTCACTTGGAGTGGTAACTATAAGAGCATTTAACATGGCAAACAGGTTCTTCCAAAACTACCTAAAGCTTGTAGACAATGATGCAAAACTTTTCTTTTACTCCAATGCAACCATGGAGTGGTTAATTTTGAGAGTAGAAGCACTTCAAAATCTGACTTTATTCACTGCTGTTTTTCTCTTGGTTTTACTTCCCAAGGGTTATGTTGATCCAGGTATATCCATGGTTCAGTGGAATAATTCATTTATAGCTTAGAAATTTTCTTTTAGATTCGTAAAACATGTCTTTTTTGTAGGGCTTGTTGGACTTTCTCTTTCTTATGCTTTGGCTTTGACAAGCACCCAAGTGTTCATGATTCGATGGTATAGCAGCTTGGCTAATTATATTATTTCAGTGGAACGAATCAAACAGTTCATGCACATACCTCCAGAGCCTCCAGCAATTGTGGAAGATAGAAGGCCACCATCTTCATAGCCTTCTAAAGGGAGGATAGACTTACACGATCTAAGGGTAAGGGAACTTATTATTAATCCCACTACATATGGAACGTAAAGATAATCAATTTTACCACTTCATCACACTCCTCATAGTATATGATGAAGTGCCATGGCGGTTATTGATTTTCGTAATGTAAAAGCAATCTTATGTTAGTTAACATATGACAAATCAAATTAATTCTTGATTGCAGGCTCTAGGAAAGTGTCAACTCAAGACTACCATCAACAGTCTTCCAAGTTTGCTAGATTCTTCTGGTGAATTGAACTTCGAAACATGGAAGCAACTTCATTGAAATGCATATTATGATGCAATTTAAAACATGAAAGATTTAGATAAAGTCATTATTCAGTGAAGTTGCACTCCATAGTCCATACATAACCTTATATTTATAAAGAAAGCATAAATTTTGTTCTTTCTTCTTGTTCCAACAGTGAGTGATGAAGGTGAAAATTGGAGCGTGGGGCAACGCCAACTCTTCTGTCTCGGAAGAGTCCTGCTAGGAAGAAACAAATTTCTAGTTTTGGATGAAGCAACAGCTTCAATTGATTCAACCACTGATGCCATTCTACAAAGGATAATTAGGGAAGAATTCTCAAATTGCACAGTGATAACTGTAGCTCATAGAGTTCCAACTATCATAGACAGTGACATGGTTATGGTCCTTTCTTTTGATATGCTTCTATTCCACCCAATAGCTTTTGAGTATTATCTTCTTATTTTTAAATGTTTTGGTAAACACCCCTTGCTCCAATAAAAAAAGATCAATTATAATAATTTGAGGATAATTTTATGATACACTGTTTGAAAAAATTTAGGTAAAACTTTCACTAAAGACCCAAAAAAAAAAAAACTTAAAAAGTCTAAAAAATTGGCTTATTTTTGTCTTTTGTATACTTTGTAAAAATGTTTTCCACTTTTTTTTTTTTAAAAAAAAATTCTAGGATTGTTTAGTCCATATGAACCTTTTATTTTTATTTTTATTTTTTTAAATTAAAAACTGACTTAAAGGTTAAAAGAATTAACTAAAGACAAAAATAAATCAATTTATATGTACTGTGTAAGTCTTCCATTATGTTGAATTGGGTTTTAGCACTTGTTTCATTGGGTAAGACCCAATTTTTTTTAATGGCATTGTTAAGATATTCTAGACTGATGGGTTTAACTTCAAATTCAAATTGCGTGATTGTTGTAAATGTAACAGGTCATCAAAGAAGAGAGTAAGTGTTGTTGCCATAAGCAATGATGGTCTGTTTGTTTGTTTTGCTGACAAATTTGGGGTTGTTTGGGTTGTGGATTTGGATGGATTACATGAAAATCAAGCTTCACCCAGTAAGAAGAAGGCAGTGACAATTCTTGCCCACTACTGTAGCATCATTACTAGCCTGGTTTGTCGTTTGTTATCTTTGTATCTTTTCTCTTCTTCATTGCTCTGTTCTATATATAGGCATTTGTTAATGCCTACTTATTTCCATCATAATTATATCAAAAAATAGATCATAACATTAATAATACATCTAAGACTTGGCAATGCAGATTTATGCTTAGCAATTATGGGTAATTTGTTTCAGTATATTATCATAAACATTTCTATCATTCAAAGTTTTTTTATTTTTTTTATTTTTGTGAATCAGTGGTCATTTCTCCCATTAATGATAGAAAAAAAATGGGATGGATATTATTCTAAACAGTTGTATCTTCTTACAGGAATACTCACCAGATGGACGATTCATTGTTCGTGCTGATCGGGATTTTAAAATTCGTGTAACTCATTTTCCTCCCCATTGAAATAAATAATTATTTAGTCAATTCCATTTTATTTCTTTATCCAATAATGTTAATCTTATGACAGGTTACTGTGTTTCCCAAGAAGCCTTTGGATGGAGCTCATGAGATACAAAGTTTTTGCCTTAGGCATACTGAGTGAGTGATTTTTTTTGTTATCACATGTTTATATTACATCAGTGGTAAGAGTAAACAAAGTTGACAGCAGACAGGAATTGGGGTTTTGGCTTATGTCTCTGAGAATTTTGCTGCTTGAGCTAAAAATAAATATTTTTTTTTGGAAAAGTTATTAACATAGTGACATTGAGAATTTGATTGTAGCGTCTTTCTGACATAATGGTCCAGATTAACTTAATACATTTTGTTATAACAGACAGATGTTTTTTGGCTAATGTTTATTTAACTTCACTCAATGCTTGTCAATTATAAGGTTTTGAACTAGATAGCTTTTGAACTACATATTTAGTAATATTCTACATATTTATTAATATTCTACATAGATAGCTTTTGCTGGAAAATTGAGTATCTTATCTTATCTGTTTCCCTAATTGATTTGTGTGTCTTTCTCTTTGTTGAATTTCAATATCTGTGGTTCTACTCACACAGCAATGATTACCTTGAAATATGTCATTGTCACAAGGCAATATATGAGACTTCCTCTGTCAAAGAAGGCCCTGCTCAGTGGATACCAGTATCAAAACTAAACTTGTGCTCTTTTTTTTTTTTTTCTTTGTCTAAAGGAGGGGAAAAAATAAAAAAATAAGCTTTCTCCACTGTTTTTAGCTTGTCTAACAATTATTTGATGCAGGTCCTGCGGAAAATATGCTGGTATTTAGTTTTGTCACCTCATGATCCTATGCAGTCAATCCTTCTTAATTCCACATTGGAGGATAAAGATCCGATAGTAAATTCCTAATTTTAGGTATGTCTATCCAATTAATCTAAAACCAATAGTAATGACCAAAAAAAAAAATAGAGAGCATAGTTTTGTTCTGTTAACACTATTGGATGCTTGCCCTTCTGTTCTGTCATAGGTTGCTCTTGAAACAGCTTGTTACAATGGAGGTTATTCAGTGGATGACTTTATGGCATACATTCAAGGATGAATTTGAGAATGAAAAGAACATGCTTGGTGGTTCTTTAGGTAACAGAGCAGCTGAAGATTTGAGACAGAGAGTAATAAAACATGTAATCTTTCACTCATGTTCAATTATATATTTCAATTATATGTTGCAATGGTTCATCTACAAGACATTATTGTTTCTTGTAGAACATCCTTGTTGTCTCAAAGTATTACTGAAGGATTACCTTGGCGAGACTTGCTGAGCTGCTTTGTCTCATTGTTCAGGTATGCCAATACTTAATTGTGGTTTAGTCATCATCAAATGTTTGTAATGTAATCATATAAATGTTTGCCATATGGTTAATTTTTTTTTTATGAGAATACTTCATTTTGGATGTTTTTCTAGATTCTAACTTTTCTTATTTTATTTGTAGGTGACTTCCAAAAACGATCAAGCACAAGGCTGATGCTTCAAAATCATATATATTCCCTCATGTTTTAGAATTTTTTTTGGATTCCTTCATTGATTTTCCTTTTAATTTTTGTTCAATTACTTACTGGTTTTCAATGGATGGATGTTTAAAACTTGTCTCAATTAATGTTTTGAATGGAATGATTGTAAAGTTTGGGATTGAGCAGGAAAATATGATGAATTTTAATGTTATATTTAGGTTGGGTTGAATGAATTTTGTTCAATATTGGATTGAATGTTTATAAACAAAAATTGATTGTTCAAAAAAAAAAAAAAAAGAGATTCGGTGACTAACTAATTAATCGTTGATTGTTTAATGTCTTTTGGCGACAAAATATTTGGTTGAGAAAAGTTTTGGCGACTAAATAATTGGTCGCCAAATTCTACACTTTTGCGACTAAGTGACTAACTAATTAGTCGTTGATTGTTTAATGTCTTTTGGCAACAAAATATTTGGTTGAGAAAAGTTTTGGCGACTAAATAATTGGTCGCCAAATTCTATACTTTTGCGACTGAAATCATTGGTCGGCAATTCCTCAACTTTTGGAGACGAAAATAGTTGGTCGCCGATTTTTTGCTTTTGGCGACAAACATATTTTGTTGGAAAAATATCACTTTTTGCGACCAAAGTATTTTAGCGACTAAATGAATTAGTCGTAGTAATGATATATTTAACGACCAAAAATTTAGTCAGCAAATTTAACTTTTTCCCGACTAACAAAAGTTTTGGTCGCCAACTACTTTTGCCGACCTTCAATTGGCGACCAAAGTGGCGACCAAAAAAATTGGTTGCGAATGACTTTTGCCAACTAAAAATGGACTTTTGCCGACCAAATTTTTAGTCGGCAAAAGTGTAATTTTTTTGTAGTGAATATTGCCGACCAATCTTTTGGTCGTGGAATGTGACAATTTGCGATCAAATTAGTTGGTCGTGGAAATGGGCAACAAATGCCGACCAAATTATTTGGTCGTTGAATGTGCGAATTGGCGACTAACATATTTGGTCGGGAAAATATGACTTTTCGCGACTAAGTGTTTTAGCTACTAAATGGATTAGTCGCAGTAATTATATATTTAGCGACCAAAAATTTAGTCGGCAAATATAACTTTTTCGCGACTAAATATTTTAGTCGCTAATTACTTTTCGCGACCCTCAATTGGCGATCAAAGTGGCGACCAAAAAAATTAGTCGCGGATAACTTTTACCGACTAAAAATAGACTTTTGTCGACCAAATTTTTAGTCGGCAAAAGTGTGAATTCTTGTAGTGTGAGTTGTGCAAACGTATATGTGATAGAAAATTTTTAAATTATATATATATATTATACATCACTCTTACGTCATCACATTTATACAAATAAGACAAAAAGGAAACTTAGCCCTATTTACAAAATAATCAAAAACTTCTTTAACCAAAACAAGAAAACAAAAACGTAAACTTTAATTATATAGCTAAGACCACTTGACATATTCGAAACCTCCACGGGAGGCACATAGGTTTGTTGACAAGACAGAGTCCAGGCAGACGCTCTAGGCCTGGTCACACGTCTGATCACCTACATACAAAAATAATACAGTGAGCTGAAAACCTAGTGAATAACAACAAAGTAAAGGTTTTAATGAATGATGTCCCATAACAGATTCAAAAATCAAAATTTAGATCATAAACAGATTCATATACATATTCATATTTGTAAACAGTTATACGTGGTACACCCATTAACTAATAGATCAGATTAGACCTATATGCAGAGTAATTGGTCATACAGACTCATATTCACATGAGATAATCATTAAGACTCACGTGCAGATTTATCCAAAAAAAAAAAAATGGAGACCCATGTGCAGAGTAGTTGGTTATACGGACTTATATTCACATGAGATGGTCATTAAGATCGGAGTAAATGATTATGCATAATCAGTTTCATGAATGGAATCCACGTGAAACTCTGGTATCAAGTAACAAATAGCACATGACATATTCACATGATATTAAGGATGCTACAAATATATTTCAAAAAATTAAATATTCATTCATGATTCACAAAATAACATTTCAAAAATTAAATCATATCATATCAGTCAAAAAAAAAATCTTTTAGACCTCGTTATTTTGTTTTGACATCATTATGTTCTGCTAACCAATTTGGGACCGGCAACATCATTTGATAAAATGTAAGTCAATATCAAATGATTCACTCAAAATGTGTTGTATTTTTTATTAACAAAAAATGACATAAATAATGTCATATAATACAATTGAAATATCTAATAAATTTTTTACCTCTTCAGTGTGCTATTTTAATTTTGCTCCATAGCTTCTAAACAATCCAAGTAATATTTAAATAAATAAATAAATAAATAACTTTCATACGATCGAGAGTTGAACCGTTAATAAATTTTGTTTTCTTTCTTCGAATTAACAAAGTGCTTTTGCAAACTACTATAGAACCATATTATATAATTTATAAGTATATATTCACACACTAATAATCAAATCAAAAAATGTCCATCAGATCCAAGCAAATGCATTGTGTTCACACGAGTGTCTTGCAGGTGGAGGTCTGTGGATCCCACATAGCCGGCAGCAGGTATCTACGCCCGTTTACTCCATTCGCATTATAGCTCGCACCCGTAGCCTTGTCCATCAAAACCGACCCGGCATATCCCGGGTACGCTCCTGACCCGAATATGCCAGTGCACGCCGTCACGGCCTCCAACGGCGCTGTCGCAGGCCCCTGGAAGTAGCCATCGCCAAAAGGATTCGTCACCGTACCAGCCAAAACCGTCGCCAAGTTGATCACCATTCCGTCAACCCCCACATCAGCGTTCGGAGCCACCAACGGCGGAGTCTGGGGTCCAAATATGGGTTGGTGGAATGGCCAGGCACACTGACCCGGGCACTGACTCACCGGGTTACCCACCCATGCATAAGCAAATTTGCCCTGCTTGTCCTTCGGGTTAGAAAAACCCGACCCGTGAGTCCCGCATCGGCTCATGCAGAATCCATCAACGGCTACATCGGCCGCTGTCAAAACCACATTGATAGAATTCACATGCGGTGCTTTGGAGGCCAAATCACTGATTTGAGAGGTTGTCAGTGATTTCCCAAGCGAGTAATTCTCGTCGAGGATTTGGGTGCCGAGGACGAGAGTGGAGGCGCCGGCTTTGTACTTCTCGGTGGTTTGCCACCAGGATCCAGCGGAGGGCGGCGGCGTATTGGGGGAGTTCAAGGATTGGACGAAATCGACAATTATGGAGCGCTGGGATGGGGAGAAATGGCCGTACCAGAGGAGGTTGAGAGTGAGATTGCCTTTGAGAAGTGGGCCGTTGTGGTATTTAAGTACGAGAGGTTGTTGCTTAACCAGAGCTGCGAGCTTGCGTGATGTGGCGGAGGAAGGATTGGGTAGGGTAGAAAGTAAAAGGAGGAGTGAAGTGAGGATGGTGGTGAGATAGTAAAGAGAAGCCATTTTTGGAGAGATTGGAAAGAGAGGCTTTGCTTGAAAGAGACTTGTTTTGGTTGTTGAGTGTTGTGTTGTGCTGTGGGGAAGAGAGTGTTTGATGGGTTGGGTATTTATATACATGGATGTGGTAGTGGGGAGGGAGGGAGGGAGGGTACGTAGAAAGAGCGTGGTGTGTACAGCTGTGAGTTGGGGATGATGGGGAAGGCATTGTTTGGATCGAGAGGTCTGACTGAACTTGGGTAACTGCTCGTTGTGTTTGGTTGGAAATTTAAAGAGAAATTTAAAAAGAAAAATTAAAGTTTGGATCGAGAGGTCTGACTGAACTTGGGTAACTGCTCGTTGTGTTTGGTTGGAAATTTAAAGAGAAATTTAAAAAGAAGAATTGAATTTGGGTGGCTGCTCGTTGCATTTGGTTGGAAATTTAAGATTGAATTTAAGAAAGAAAAAAAAAAGTGCAAAATTAGATAAAATATAAATATATTTTAATCACATTTTACTTATTATTTTTATTTTTCTTTCTAAATATTTTTTTACATTTGCCAACCAAACAAGTATTAAAATATTGCACCAAGGATCCTCTAGAGTATTTTTTTTCTAAAGTTTCCTAAAGTGGTGTATTGTGTGGTTGAGATTTAATGCTGAAAAATTGATGTGACTTATCATTAAATCTCAACCACACAATGTACCACTTTAGAAAACTTTAGAAAAAAAAAAAACTCTAGAGGATCCTTACTCAAAATATTGTGGTCGGGTGGGTTGGTATATCAGAGGAAGGTGTTAGGATGGGAAGACCATATAACAATAATATATAATAACGGAGGAGATAAGAATAAAGGTCAAGTGTGAGGAGTCATCCATCCACTCTGTCTGGAGCATGCAGCACCAACTCCAATTTGATCTATCTGAGTGACGCACATAGCTCAGCGTTTAGAGAAGCGTTATGTATCACTGTCACCGTCTCAGTCTTTAACCCAAACAGCAACGTTACAAGGTATTAGATAATAAAAAAAAAAGTTGGAAGAGTTTTTTTTGCAATCTACGGGACTGAAGGGTTGTTACTGTTTTAGCTTCTATTTTTGATAATTTGAAATAATTCATGTTATAGTACTTTTCACATGATCGTAGAGCAAATACTGAATTCTTTTTAATGGATGATAGAGAATTCAATTTAAAGTGAAATTTGAAATTTTCAATGACTGTTTATATTTAATTAAAGTAATATGAATGTAATCTATCAAACACAAAAGAAAAAAGTAGCCCTCTATTAAAGCACAGTAATACTATGTATCATGAAAAATATTTCATAAAAATAATTATGAAAGATTTGTAACCTTTGAATTACACTTAGAATAAAACACCACACACTAATCAACGAAATCCAAAAATCATAAATCTTTCATGATCATTTTTATAAAAAAAATTTCATAGTAACTAACTTTTCTCGTTAAAGCATCAAGCTCGACAGCAAAAAACTGCACGTGCATTGAGTAACCATTGATATTATTACTATATTTTTTGAACGCCATTAATATTATTATATCATCATGAAAGTTTTATATGTATCATATTAACATTCTTAATTAGGTGGAACCACACGTGTTAAAATTTTAAAATTATAGTACTATTATAGTTATGCGAATTTGACAATTCGATCCAGATTGTCCAGTTCAAAATCCTACTGCGCCTTCGTTGCGTCCCAACTTGTTCCAAATAAATAAATCAAAAACATACCTCCTGTGAAAATTATATGTACACCAAAAAACATACTGTTAGGTCCCTATGTTGTCAAATTCAGAGACAAAACATTGTGTTGATTCAAATGTAATTTTTTGTGTTTTTGTTCTGTCCGCTCGAGCGGAGCCTTGTGAGCTCGAGCGTAGATTAGCAGGTCTCAGTAGTTTGTCAGGGCAAGCAAAAAATACTAGTGGGTGTGATTTTACGCTCGAGCGGATTCTCCTACGCTCGAGCGCATCTCAGTTTGTTCGCACACAGTTTTTTGGTCAGTCCGCTCGAGCGGGCTGTGTTGAGCTCGAGCGGAGATCGCGGATCCAGATTCCTATTTAAAGCTGTTAAGGATGTTTTTTTGAGGAGTTTTTTCCTAGATCTGATCTACAAGCACTAGGGTTGTGTTTAAAGTTTTCTTTGGAGATTTTTCATAGTTTTCCTTGATGTTCTTGAGAGAGTTCTGAACTTATGCATTGAGATTCATACATCAAGGAGGTTGCTTCTTAAGTTTCAAGTAAGTTCTCTTCGGTGGATTCCGAAGATTAAAGCGTAGAATCCAAAAGGCGTTTGATTCTACGCAGTCGTTAATTCGACAAGTGAAGTTGTGGTGTGGAATCAACTTCAGGATCAATTCCGTGACGAAGGCGTGGTGAAAGAGTTACAGAAGATTCAGAGACAAATTGACTGGGTTGGGTAATTTGTATGGTATCTTTGTAATCTTTTCGTTCTTCAATAGTGGATTGGTAGTGGCGGTTCGCCCGTGGTTTTTGATTACAATTGAAGGTTCTTCAATTGTGATTTTTTCCACGTAAAAAATCGTTTATGTCGATTTATTGTTTATTCTCAAAAACAAACAAACTAAAATCACTCACGTAAGTGTTTGATGATTTTAGGTTGAGTGTTTGAATTAATTGGGATTTGGAATAAGTTAATCTTGATCTAATCACAAATCACGTAGGATTTTCAATTGGTATCAGAGCAGGTCACTCTTTGTTTTTCAAAAACTATAGGAGTGTGATTTTGTGTGATTAGTAATCATGGATTCTATTCGTGAAGGTAGCTCGACTCATAGACCCCAATTACTTGACGGTACAAACTATTCTTATTGGAAAGCTCGTATGAGAGCATTTTTAAAATCCATCGATGAGAAAGTTGGGCACTCCGAATCTTTGGTGGAGTGAACCTACAATCACCATTGATGGGATTGATATTCCTTAAAAACCCCTTGATTCCTAGTGGTTTGACTTTCCTCAGTAGTGTTTAGATTCTCTTCTTGGAGGTCCAGCCATCCGATCACTACTAGACCTGAAGAATTCCGTCGAATTTGCACGTGTGAAATAGCAAAAGAGGCGTGGGATATTCTTGAAACGATTCACGAAGGTACCACCTCTGTTAAAAGGGCAAAACTTCAACGTCTCACGTCCGCCTTTGAAACCCTTTTTATGCGCGACGATGAGACGTTCGATGAATTTTATGCAAAACTCAGTGATATCGTGAATTCCTGTTTCACTCTCGGTGAAAAAATCCCTGAAGCAAAAGTTGTTGGAAAAATTTTGAGGTCCCTTCCCGAGAGGTTTCAACCAAAGGTGACAGCCATTGAGGAGGCTCAGAATGTTGATACCCTCAAGCTCGATCAATTGGTTGGAAATTTGCAGACTTATGAAGCCCACCAAATTTCTAAGAAAAAGCAAAAAGAAAATATGGCTTTCACGAGTGCCCATGAGACTGCAAAACCTCCGAAGACTGAATTTGATTTAGAGTCTGAGATGACGGCTATGCTTACAAAACAGTTTAAAAATTTTTTGAAAAAGAAGCAGAATTTCAGAGCCCCTATTTCAAAAGATAAGAGTAATGACAAACCCAAAACTGTTCCACCAAAATTTGCTCAAACTACTGAAAAAAGGATTGTAAGGGGACCAGGGGTCAAGTGTTATGAATGTCAAGGGTTTGGACATATGTCTCTTGAATGCCCTTCGAAAAAGAATCGGAAGAAAGTCTACACCGTAACTTGGGATGATGAAAGCGGGTCGGAGCAAGAACCCGAAGAACCTGAATCCGGTGATGATGGGGATAGTGCATTCATGGCATTTTGGGCCACGGATTCTCAACCTCTTCCAAAGCCTTTGGAATCAGCTCGTGGCCAGAACCTGCATCATGCTCCCACCTTTGATGGGGCTAACTATCTGTATTGGAAAATCAGAATGAGGGCGTTTCTCAGAGCTTTTGAACCAGAAGGTTGGCAAGCCATTGAAGAAGATACAGAAAGTGCAGATAATCCGGGCAATCTGAGAGCCCTGATCATTATTCGTGGAGCAATCTCTAATGAAGAACAACAACGGGTTGTTCACTGCACAAAGGCTAAAGATGCATGGGAAATTCTGAGCCAATTCCATGAAAGAAGAGATTCACCTCCACCTCCATCCAGCAACTTGTCTGCCTTGGTTGCTAAATTGGATGAGGTCAAGGAGAATGAGGAGCAAAGAGAGGATGATGAAACATCTGAAGACATGGATGAGATCAATGGCGAAGAACTACAACAAGCCTATGAGAAGCTGTACGAGGAATCTCTGAATTTGTCTAAAACCAATGACAAACTCTCTCTCAAGCTCAAAATATGTGAGAGTGAGAATGTCCGGCTCAAAGGAGAACTCTTGACAGCAAAACAGAATGTCATCAAGATCTCGAGTGACAGGCAAGACTTATGTGAAAAACTTCTATCCTGTGAAACTGAAAGGAATGAACTTATGAAAGTGTATTCCACATATGAAGAAAAGCTTGAAAGTCTTGAGTTGTGGTAGAGAAAGTCAGTCAGAAAGATGAAGAACTCCGTACTGCTAGAGCAACAATTGCCATGTGGAACAAAGGTTCCAGATCTCTAGAAGACATACTCGGGTCTCAACAAATGGGTTCTGACAGAAGAGGGCTAGGCTATGGTGCGACGACTCACAAAGGACAGGCCTCTACCTCTCAGAACTTGAAGACTCAAGCAAAAGGAAAACTGAAGATAGACCAGGCTGATCCTTCACTTCATCAAGCAAAAGTAGGTAAGATCAACAAAAAGGAGGTAAAACCTGTTTTTATTTGCCATCACTGTGGTAGGTATGGCCACATTCGTCCTTACTGTTTTGAACTGTTTGGTAAGGTGTCTCAAAAGGGTAGAAATT